CCTTAAGGTCATTGCTCAGCGTCTCATGCAGTCCAAACAAACAATACCTCACTACTATCTCTCCATTGATGTAAACATGGGAGAAATATTGGTGCTCAGACAAGAACTCAATGAGGTAAAAACCTATGGGGGGTTGTGATGTGGCTGTGAGCGATGGGCCACCTGCTGATCAGCTGTTATTACAAGACTCCTGGGCTGTTCTTCGGTGATGTGCTAGCTTGGCTTGGAAACCATAGGTTCCTTGCACAGCTGGCATTTGCTGCTGCTCCTCACCAGTTTTGGATCTTTTTTATGGCAGAGTGGAAAAGGTCTCATTCAGAAGCCATGCATTACTTGGGCCTCAGTGAGATAGTAGGATAAATAGCGAGGACCTACATGTAAACAAACCTGAAGTGCAAATAAAATGTGCCCCCAATGTGAATGCTGAGTGGAAGGAGGGAAGTGGGTGCAGCTGTCTTAAGCCCACACAATGCTTTCAAATGTTCCTGCCTTGTAGAGCTGTGCCAAATCAACTGTGACAGCTACAGAGTGGGTGGAAACAGCAGCATCTCTCTGAGATATTCTGCCTTTAAATGCAATGCTGCAGGGCAGCAAGCGTGCAGGCTAATTGGGATTTTACAGTGATGAGTTCCTTTTTCTGGTAAATTGCTGACATTTCAATCTTCTGTATGATCTTTGCAGGAGGTTTTGAAGGATGTTAAGCTTTCTGTCAATGACTTCATCATTAAAGCTTCAGCTCTGGCATGTTTGAAGGTGCCTGAAGCAAATTCCTCATGGATGGACACAGTTATTAGGCAGTAAGTACATGGTTCAAGCAACTGTATATTTCTTTTTTTTTTTTAACTTTCAGTATGATGTTAACAGGGAAATCAGAGTCATTGCTCACTGCTGGTGGGAATGGGAACAGCTTCTGTTTAAGGGGCTAGCACTGTTGTTTTAAACTGTCTTTTTAAAATGCCTTTGTAAGTAAGGCCTGTGTGGTAGACTTTCAGGCAGGAAGAGTGACTGCTAACTTAGAGAGAGTGGCAGTGGCACTTCCTTCCTTCTGTGTATCCTGCTAGAGTGAACCAGGCTGTGTCCCCATTGTGTCTTGCAGAAATCATGTAGTGGATGTTAGCATTGCAGTGAGTACTCCTGCTGGGCTCATAACCCCCATTGTGTTCAATGCGCACATAAAGGGACTGGCTTCTATTAATAAAGATGTTGTTTCTTTGGCAACTAAAGCACGAGAAGGTAAACTTCAGCCACACGAATTTCAGGTGAGGAACCCAGAGTGTTAGTAATAACTGCAGCTCTGATTATGTCCCTGCTATAGGAAATTGTTTTCAGTTTTGCTTGTGTGACTTAAGAACCAACCAGTCTATTCCTTGATGTGCTTAAAGCCATATGAAATGACCTCTCCAAAGTTCTGTATATTAACATGCACTTACGTCTTCTAGGGAGGAACTTTCACAGTTTCCAATTTAGGAATGTATGGGGTTAAGAATTTCTCTGCCATAATCAACCCACCGCAAGCTTGTATTCTGGCAGTTGGTACATCGGAGAAAAGGCTGGTGCCAGCAGATAATGAGAAAGGGTAAGCATTAATTTAAAAGCTTAGACCAGTGCTTTGCAGCGTCTGTGCCACACTTGCTACGGGTTAGTTGTCAAATTAGAGTAGTCATACAGCTTAAACGCTCATTCCCATGGAAGGCCCTGTGGGTGGTGATCTTCCTGCCCTGCGTATATATATTACCGAGAGCGTGAGCTGGCAGACCCAGAGTGAGGTTTTACTGTAACTAGGTCTGTGTTTGTTTAAAGCTTCGGATCCGTGTGTTCCAAAAGGAACACCAAAAGGTGCTGCTAACTTGTAGGAAAGGAGGTGTATGATGTGCTTTGTCATGTAGATCTCTTATTACTGGCCTTTGGAGAGGTGTCAATGTAGGACTGAGCACTACAGTATTAACACCCTTTGGTATTTGAGGAAAAAGTCCTGGGTGTTGGATCAGTGTTGCTGGTAAGATGTCCACTAGTTGATTTTGCAAAGTACCAAATCTTGAGACTCCCTTTCTTTCCCCAGATTTGATGTGGCAAGCATGATGTCAGTAACGCTTAGCTGTGATCACCGAGTTGTGGATGGAGCGGTCGGAGCTCAGTGGCTTGCTGAGTTCAAGAAGTTCCTTGAAAAGCCAACAACCATGCTGCTATAATCTGACCATGCAACCAAGACTTTCCTAGGCCACATTAATTTCTAAATGAGCTATTTATATTTCAGTGTTTAGACTCCTCTTAAACAAATGTTCCTTTTTTATTTTAAAAAAAAAATATATATATATATATATTCAATGGTAATTTTTATTACCAGTCTGTACAGATAAATAGTTTGCAAAAAGGCTTTACAAAGCAATAGAGCAATGCTGTATTTTATACAGTCAATGATCTTGCAAACTTCTTTCCAAAAGGGTTGTGTCCTGGATTTACAATTATGTGAGCAGGGTATGCTTTGTCATATCCTCCTAATTGAGGGGGAAAGTGGTGGGAACATGCCCAGTTAATTGGTGATCTCTTGTGTTCTCAAAAATAGGAGACCTAGATCTGTTCACAAGAGTCCCTAGAACCTGAAATCTACAGCCTGTTACAAAAGTGTGTTCCGCTGGTGGTCTGTTCTCCTACTAATATTAGTGAGAGCAGCAGGTGTGCTGTGGGAGGAATAGACCTCTTGGAATAACTTCTCACAGGGTGAAGTGTTTTGCATTTCAAAGGCTCTTGGAAGTTCAGCACTGGTTCAGATTTTACCAGCTACATGGACCCTTTCAGAGCACTTTAAAATAAGGCAAACAGAAACTGTGCAGTCAGCTCTTTTAAGTGCTATGGAGAACGTGCCCCCTTCTTTGGATTTTAACTCATGCATTTTTATATGAACTCCATTGTCTTAAATGGCTGCTTTCCAATTGCTTAGTTCCTACTATATTCTGTTGCAGTGGAAATGCTTGTTTTGCCTAAGGGTCAGGAGAATGGATCTTGTGTGTTGAAATGTGTATCGACATATGCAACTGGGCCATCAGGAAACATTGACATGACAGCTTGGAGGCCTGAAAAGTGATTTTTGGGTGTCCTTGATGTAGGAAGCTCTAAGACTAGTAGAAGAGTCAGGTAGTGCTGTTGTAACATGGAATGTCTCTTGTCCCAGCATCAGGAAACTGCAGAATGTGCTGTCTGTGTATGTAAATGGCTTTAAAAGGTTCTCCATTGGGCTTGTGTTCAAATACACTAATCACTGGGTCCTGCAAAGGGGGGTGGGATGAATCGGTGAACACTCCTAAATTCCACTTTCCAAATAGAAGTGTTAATGTAAAGAGAAGGATTGTAGAGTTGATTAGTGATGTGACCAGAAGGAAAAATTTGAATAAGAGAGGGAAGCTGACCTGATCCCTTCCACACTGCATTAAGTGCTGTCTCCTCCAACGTTGTGCTACAGAATCCACAAAAGATAATGCTGAAAGACTATTTTGTGGAAATTAAATATTTTTGTGACCACTGTTTAATGTTCTACTCAGTTAATTGCAGTGATGCCTAATTTTATTGGTTGGGTGTAAAAAAAACCAAACCCATGTGATTGCAATTAAGTTTAATAATGACTTAATTATCCCTGTTCCAGGCTCTAGTGAACCTGTGTGTTCCATTAAATGTTTGGAATTGGCAGACTACTAAGACTTGTTTCAGTGCTTTTTCTGTTCATTAATGCATGTAGCTTACCTCCCCTGCTCTAATGCTCATGCTGTGAAAACCGTTGTCGTGCTCTGGTTTGACAGACACAACTTATTTTATTAACCTTTAACTTCCAGTTCTCAGTGGGGCAGTGCAGTCTCTGACAAAGCATTCTCAGGTAGTGCTAGACTGACTTGCTTCAGACTCCAGTGCTAGACTTTGCATGATTCGCCTGCTCTTTAAAATGTCTGCATGAGGAACTTCTGGACACTTTCATTACCCTCTTCCTCATAATCCAAACATTAACCAACCCAGGAGCTAGCTAAGGGAGGACAATTCCAGCAAATACCCAACTGGGAAGCTTGCTGGCAGAACAGAATGGTTCATTCAGGTGTACAAGTATCCCTGGCTTTGGGTTGCTTGCAGCATTCTGTGGTTCCCTATCCACCCTGCAAATGAGCCAGCTCAGAGTAAAGCCCTTTTTCTTATTCTGAATTCTTAATTAAGTATAGAAAATAAAATGCAGTTGTTAGATGCAATCTAATTATTTTAGAACAAGAGGGGAGGAAAGTTAGGAGTAAACAGCTGTTCAAGTTAAATACAATGATACCTTTAAGTGGTGGTTTTAAACATCATTCCTGTGCTATGCTGTACTGTTCTGCTGCAGTTCGCAAAAGGAATGTAGTATAAAGTTGCCAAACAAACAATTAAGAAAGAGATGTTTTATTTCCTCATTTGGAGAAACTGGAAAATGACCCTATAGTACATCAGGAGGTCACATATCTTCAGAAGAAAACTGATTTTTTTTTTTGTTTCCCCTTCTCAACCACCAGAGAACTGATTTTCACCACTCGCATTTGAGTTGGTTTATGCTCTTTCTGAACGCTAGGTAGCATCTTGGACCCCTTTCCTAGGTGCTGGGTTGCTTTAATAGTGACATCTTCACTCTCAGGTATTTCTGAGTTCTGTTATTCATGGGCAGGCACAGCAAGGGGCCAGGCAGCACAATGACAGATAGGAGATGGAGAAATTAAAGCAGCAGATCAGGCTGGGACCATGGGGCTGATCAGGCAGAGGAAGGGGATCAGAGTGGCACTCAAGATACAGGGCTAATCTGTGGCATACATGCCAAAAAGGTTGGCCCCCAGTGCTGTAAGCAATCCATCTCTGACCTGGCAAGATAATTCTGGGACACTGCTGTTCTTTTGTCTAGCTTTGAGATTACAGCATGCTTGATAAGGAGTAGGTTAAGGTACATCCTCACAGCACAGCTCCCCTTAGTCCTCAACCATTTAGGCAGTCAACAGCTAAACAGGCTATTCCTTTTGAAGTTAAAAAATATTCCCTGCGGCATGCCATGGAACAAAAGCAGGAAGCTTGTATTCTTTGTCTCTCCTAGGCCTCTTCAGTCTATTAATTAAAAAGCTTTGGATCCAGCATCTTAACTGCATTTGATCTACTTTTTTAAGAGGAAAAAATGCTGGTGGGAGCAGCTAGGGGAATGAATAGAACATTTCTTCGCAAAGATAAGTCTCTTTTTCTTATGGGGAAACCAAATTATATAGCAAGGTTTGCATGTAGGTGATATTAATTAGTATTACATGTATTAAAATAAACTGTTGTGAATAACCCTTCAATGCTTACAACTTCTAGGAAGAACTTAAAAAAAAAAAAAAAAAAAAAACTTTAACACTGAAATCTCTTTAGACTAAGGCTACCTGTGTTCTGTTTGTACCCTACATCATATTACTCTTTAACATTTAAATAGGAACAGATTCCTAGAAGAGTGATAACAATTTGTATCCAGTGGTAAGAGATCTGCTATCAACCGTCCCATCCTTAAAAACCTGCTGCCCCTAACATTCTGTCTGGAGAACTGGCATTGTGATCAGCAACACACACTTCCCTTTGTTGAATGTGGCTGTAGCTGCTTCTTCATTGATTAACTCTGGCAGATCCAGCTGTAATCTGTATTTCTCAGGGACATCAATGACTAGATCATCCTAAGAGAGGCAAATAAAAATACTCAGTAATGCAGGCGCTTAAGAGTCTCAATTAGAAGTGAAGGGGGATCCTGTAGATGTGCAGCAAGGCTGCTCCGATACCCTGTAAATCCACTTCATCGGAGCAAATTTGATTAATAGAGTCTGCTGGAGCATGGAAGTTAACATGATGCAGCAGCCTCCAGCATCACATATCAGTGTCCCCGCAGTGAAAAATGGCAACGGGGGCGCTTTCAACTAAAGGTGGCTTGATGAGCTTTAGTTCAAAACACCCTGCTGCATTTTTCAGTGCAGGGATGCTGATGCACATGACAGTTGGTGCTTTAATTAGCAAGCTGCAATAATTAGAAGTGCCCATCCCCCACACCCCTTCCCAGAGCACATCTATAATGCCCAAAGGTTTTCTGGTAATGCTTAGATTCAACTGAGAGCAGACATGAGGTTATCACCCCCAAGGGATGACAAGGTCAAACAGTCACAAACCCCTCCAAGACCGTTTCAGGCTGGACAGAAGGAAGGAACTTCTTTACAGTTCAAGCCCCCAAGGCCTAGAACAGACTGCTGCCAGAGGTGGTGCAAGCACCTACTCTGGACTCCTTTAAAAGTCAATTGGACATTTATCTTGCTGGAGTCCTGTGACACCAGCTGACTTCCTGCCCCTAGGACAGGGGGCCGGACTCTGATCTTCAGAGGTCCCTTCCAGCCCTAATGTCAATGAAGTCATTTCTATTCAACTTGCCTTTGAAATGCTCAGGTCACATTCTGAAACAGAGCTAACTTTCGGCAGTTCAACCTTCAGTTCAATCTTTATGGGTTTCTTGTTAGCATCTGGCACAACAGTCAATTCATAGACTGGCGCGCGGAGTTCTTCTGGCACCTCCGTACTGGCAATCTCCTCTATCAGAGGCACTTGAGACTGCATGACCTCCTCCTTCAGCAGGAGCATAGCATCGTGGCTCTCCTCTGCTTTTGCCCTGTGTATCAGCTGGTCAAGTGTCAGCCCTTTCCCATCTGAAAAATGTTTTACTGAAGTTATTCTTTCATTTCTAAGAGGCTCTTGCTGTAGGCAGTAACTAATCTAACCCCAAGTGATAAAACTGCCATTGCTAAATCTAAGTTTTGCAGTCAGGAACTCAGCAGCTTGAGCTAGTAATCTAACTACTTGTATGTAAGTGGTTTGGCATGTAAAGCTTCCACCAGGATCAAGCCTGAAGCTCAGCCTAGACCGGCTTCAACAACCTGTTGATTTCCGAGACTAGGAACTGGCTTTTATAAACTGATCTCACAGGGACTGCACTGAAGGGGGGAGCTGAGCCTCTTTCCCATCTCATGCCACCACCTACTCACCGTTCCTTGCCTGCTCCTGGAGAGACAGTTCTGGTATCTGCCCTCTTATCAGACTCTCTCTCATCCTTTGTAGGCTCCCTTTCAGTTTGAACGGTGCAATGTGGCAGGCGTCCGACAAAGTCAGGTTATAACACTCCTCAATGAATTTAAGTGTCAGCCGGATCAGCTGGTCCAGTTCTGCTTGGTCCTCTTGTGCCTTCTGAAGAACTTCAGGGTTATAGGCAACATCCATGATGCTGTAATGCTCTTAAAAACATTGAGTGACAAGAGTTAAGTGGTCTCTCAGTAGGAGCTCATTTCGTTGACTCTCACATCACTCCTATCCTGCCTGGTCTTTTCCTGAGCTGTCCCATCCCCCCCAATTTTTTTTTTTAATAATTAGTTGTATCTTTCACTCTTTGGTTCCACATGGTGGGACCTATTAGTTAAAGGCCCATGCAGTTAGACCCATTTCCCCCGGAGTAGCTACAGACAGACAGGAGTTTGTTTCAGAAAACCGACTTGTAGAAAATACCAGGAGAAGAGAGGAGAGGAGATCCTGACGGGCCGCGCCCAGGACCACCTGCCTCCCCCGACACCTCGTGAACGCGGCCGGCGCAGACGGGCACGGGGTGGCTAGGGGAGCGGGGAGCGGGCACTCGCTTCCACCCGTAGACGTTCACGAATAACGGTCTGCCGCTCGAGTCCTGCAAGGAGGGGTTGGGGTCGGGGTCAGAGCCGGGCCCTGGAGGGTGTAGCCCCCCCGCGGGGCGAGCCCCGTGCCGCGAGGGGCTCGGCCCGTACCCGGCGACGGGCGCGCAGGCAGAAGCGCGGCTCCGGGGCGCTGTCCCGCTCGGCCGCGCTCCGCTGGTCCCGCATGAGGTGATGATAGTACTCTGCCAGCAAGTCCAGCTCCGCCACCACACCCCGCGCAGTCATGGCGGCGCCGCGTGCCTATGGCAACCGCC